AAAAGTGTTGCCTTTTGAATCATGCTTTAACTTACATATTGATTAGCGTGAAAGTATTGTTATTTAAGTTTTTATTTGACTTACCTATTGGTGGTCGAAATATACCGGCGGGTAAATAGAAGGCACGATGGTTAACTAAATTTTCAGCACACTTCTTAGTCATCGTGTAAGTATTTGGCATTTCTCCAATGAGGCAGTGCCTAAATTTTTCCAACGTCACATCATCAAATATGCGAAATATCTATATAAAGGAATACACATATTGTATTGTTATATATTATTTTGAATGTATATTATACTTTCTATAAAATCTTTTTAATTTTAAATAATGTTAAATAAGCCGTGAAATGAATGTTTATTTTTTTTGAACTGCCAATTCAATTAAGAGTTCAAGTACTTAAAACACAGCAAATAAAAACATTTTATTGCTTTAGCAAAATTGTTGACTCAAATTAAATTTTTAATTTAGACGAAAAAAATTTTATAAAAATAATCTTAATTGTTTCATTTTAATGCATTTTGTGCATTCGGAATTTTATTTATTTAAATTGCATTAATCGCATCCAAACTGTTGATATGCATTCGTATCCTGGCGCTGGTGCTTGAGCTTTATTCCCCGAATTTCTGATTACTCTTTCATGTTGGATAAGTGTATGTATAATATTATTTATATATATAATAAATATATATGCCGATGTATAGTGTTTCTATCTATATAGATATTTACACTGTAGATACAAAATGAAATGAAATTGCTACCCACCTGCATAATTTTTTCATAGCCAATTTCGGTCTCGTATACCTGCTCCTTGATAAACTGTCGATTGCAATTGCAGTAAAGTGTTGAAATGTGGACAAATGACTGAAATTGATTGGAATACAACAAAGAGATTTGTTAAATTTTATGTCTTGTTTTTTGCACGCTTTTAAATGATATCGAGTATCGAGAAAAAAAATCAAACAGAAAGGATACGCCAGTGAGCAAATGCAAACAAAATTTTTGTCAATAAAATTGTTTACATTTTCGATGTTTGCACTTTTAATTGAAAAACATCAAACTTTTATGAACTGAATTGAGCTGGCAATGCCGTTAAACAACAACTGCAGTGCTGCCAGCAATGCAACTGCGACTTTGAATAAAACTATTACTGAGGCATTCACTTGGCTCAGTTGACTGTTAGCTGAAAACTACAAAATTAAATTCATAAAAATAAAATGCAAATCTACCAGAATTTTTTTTCATATCTACATATTATAAAAATTCATTTTACAAGTTTTTTTAAATATAGCTTACTCCTTCAGGCTCCCGCTTTTTATTACCTTCAAGTTTTTTATTTCCATAGCCAAATCCAAAATTTTCTTTGTGCCCAAAACGTTGATGTCGATGGCATCGCTTAATTTCTCATTGAATTTCACTGAGGCAACAACATTAAAAACAATCTGAAATGAAATTACATCAAGGACTAAATTGCATCAAACATTCATAACTGAAATCGACGACAGATAAATATAATTAATTTTAATTTATAATCGACAACAAAACGAAATATACAACCAAAATATTATTATTACAGACAGAATTGCTTGTAATTTCAATTGCTTTCATCGTTAACTGATAAAATATCTTATTTTTATAATTAAATCTGAGCACAAAGATAATAAAAACTCTAACATAAACAAAAAAATAAAACAGGACCTTTGCGATAAACACAAGACTTTAAAGTACATGAATATTCGAATTATTACACTTTTAACTAGAGGGAGAGTCCTGCTGTATGTTGCAGAAGCTTGGAGAATTACCAACAGTGATGAGAAGACGGTAGGAGCATTCAAGAGAAACATTCTTAGGAAGATCTATGCTCCCTTACGCGTTGGAGGGATGAGCTGTATGAGCTATACGGCGACACTGACATAGTTAAGCGCATACAAATTCAACGGCTTCACTGGCTTCGTTATGTCTTGCAAATGGAAGAAAGTGCACCGGCTACAAATGTGTTTGATTCGGTACCCGAAGGTGGTAAACGCTGGACGTAGAGGACGTCCGCATCTATGGTGGTAGGACGAGGTTACAAACGATTTGGATCATCGGCACTAACAGCTGACGACAGCAAGCAACTAATCAAGCTGGCTGATGGAGGCTACCCGACTTAACCAAGAATGAGTGAATCAGATATATACAGGGTTAGGCGGGGGAAGTGTTACCAACTACACACAAGTATATCTGTCAAACTGTTATTGCCAAGTATGTGAAATTCATACGAATGACGACTGTTTATGTTGCTTACAAGCCACCACCAGCACTTGCTTCAAAGCTTTATACAATAAATTCAAAATAGAATTTAAACGTAATAGTGTAATTCCGTTATATTTGGCAAGGATATCACAACCAGCTATTGTTTCTGATGTCAAACAAGATATAAGTATATATGAAAAAAATAAATGTCTACTAACACTACTACAAAATTGTTAAATTAGTTTAAAAATGTTCTTGATTCTTCTTCTTCTTGAGTTAGTGCTATTACGCACTTTTACTCTATAATGGCTGGGGGGCTTATCTCTACCCCACACTAGGCTTTAACTAGGCTAAAACAAAAAAAAACATATCATTTATTTGTCTTTTAGTTGATGACGGACCTTAAATCAACATATCTTCCTGAGAGTCCAGAAGTGGACTTGAGGATTGTTAGGGAGGGGTTAAAAATGTTCGATTGAGCAACAAAATTTGACAGATCGAGAATAAATCTAGTTGGTATCTAGATTTACTAATCGAAAATGCCATTACTATCCCTTAGACTTACCTCAACTTCATTGCATATCATTTCTCGTTCTTCAGCCTTAATGTCTAAATCAAGAGCAGTAAAATCAATTTTTATTGGATGAACTTTTTGAAATAATGCTGGATTCTCCGTACGTATATTATCGAATATCTAAAACATATATATATATATTATTCATTTTATTTTAAAATTAATAAAAAATTCATTTTCCACAATCTTTATTACTTAATGCATAAATATTATTTATAGAAGTATTTATTTATATAGATGTGGCTCTTACAGCTTCTTTGAAGAAATTTTCCAAACGCTGTTCAATGGTCATATTATCCTTACAGCGTATCAGCATATAAATCTTCTTTATCTCGAAGGAGCGTAATAGTTTTTGTATTAAAACCTTCCCGACAAAACCGGTGCCTCCAGTGATGAGCAACGTAGCATTCCTATAGAAATCGGTTATGGGTAAATTGGTATTTGTTGTTGTTTGTATAAAATTGTGACTTTCATTTTTCGAAGTATTTATCTCGAAGAGTTCATTTGTATGCATTCCGGAATCAATGGATAAATTTCTTGTAGATGAAAGTTTAGAAGAAAATTTTGATGGACTTTGGGTGATTTTATTAATATCTAAAAAAGTATTATAAAAATCAACTTAGCAATCATAGAAAAATTATGTAGAATTCAAAAAAAAGAATATATAAAAATTTTTATAAATTATTTTAGTTTATGTTTAGTTCATATTAGTTTATATAATTAAAATCCAAAATTCAAAATTCAAAATTTTAAAATGGATTTCGATATAGGTGCACCTGCAAAATTTCATTACCCTCTCGACATGCATCAGAATGTACCGTCAGAGTTAGTCTTACTCGCGTTTTTCGTCCTGTTCTTCTGTTCTTTAGCATTAATCCTCTTCTTCGTGAAACTTTGGTATACGCGCCGAAATGAACGCAGACGTTTACCGTTTCTCTTAAATCATCACATTTTCCAGAATTTGCATCAGCGACACAGCACTTTTGCTGCTCAAACGTTAACAACTGATCCATATCCAGTTTATAGATTTAATGAATATGCAAGTACCGTGCTTGACGAAGAACCTTCCATAGAAGAGCATGAAATTACATACAACTTAGGCACTGATATATCTATCAAAACTACTTCTGAAGATGAAATATCTCCTTTGGACATGGCATACGGTGAATTAGAGGACATTGCTATTATGAATGATGAAAATAGTTTGATACCCGATGAAACGTTAACAGAGAAAGACAACATTCATACATCAAGCGAAGAAGCAACATCTTGTTGACGACATGGAATCTGTTTGGAAGTGCCTTAAAATGGTGGTAAAAAAGGCACTCAATAGGAGGTGTGTTCAATAGTAGTTAGTCATTCATATGTAAATGAGAAATCATTCACATAGATGAAATTCACATAGACGATCGATTTTTTTTAAAAAAATGTGGGTTAATAGATAAGAAGAAATACCATGTTAGGCATACATTGACGAGAACGTATGAGGAGGGTACAGTTTTCGCTATTTTTTTCTTAGGAATGGAAGAAGTTTATTTCAAGTTTTGCAACATCAACACATGGATTTCTAAAAATGTCAAACTCAATATTTTCAATGAAAAAAAATAGGTTGATGAAAAAGGAATGAATACCGTATTAGCCTATCATATTATGCATTGTGAAGATTTACGAAGAGAGTACAACTTTCGCTATGACTTACATTAAAATGGATGACTTTTGAATACTGTCAACTACTACCAAATGCAACATAAAATATCGAATTCATCGCTTAAGAAAAATTTACTTTACATAGTCAATAAGCAAAACGTAGGATGTAGTTCTCGCTTGCATTGTTTCTTAAAAGAAGAAAAGAAGAGAGGACAGCCAAAAGGACAGAGAGAACAAATAGAACAAAGATAACAAGAGAACAAAGTGAACAAGAGAACAGCTAAAACAAAGTTAAGAAAAAGAACAGCAAGGAGAAAAAAGACAACAGCGAATATGACAGCAGGTAGGACAGTGAGAACAGCAAAAAATACTTGGGGATCAATAAAACGTCAATGTCAAAAGAGTAGACCAGGTGAGACAAATATAGCTTATTTTGACTTGCTTTCTAATATGTATATTCTTTATTAAGTACATTTGTTTATGAGTATATTAAAAGAAATTACATAGACCTGAAATATCACACCTTAAGAGAAATTCACTTCACATTGTCAGCGTTCAAAACATCAGACGCAGTTCTTACTCTCAAAAGAGGAGCATAGGACGAGGACAGATGTAACAGCAGAAAACTAGCAATGAGGACAAAAAGGCGTTTGAAAGGCTGGAGAGGACAGCAATGAGGACAAGGAGGACAAAAAGTACAAAGAAAAAGAGCAAATAGAACAGTAGATAAGACAGTGAGAATTGCGTCAGCGACAGGGAGGCCAGCAAAATGGGCAAAGAGTACAGCTGACAAAAGAAAAGTAAAATAACTTTGACTTACTTGGCATTATTAAGTATATACATTCAGTAAGTTATTTCCATTCGTACAAAAAGGCGTTATTTCTTCTCTAAGAACCCATATTTTGTATCGCAAATAATCTTAAAATGATCATTAAGTGAATTCAAGGGTATCAGCCCAAACCGTTGTACATTGAAATCAAAGCAGATAACATCAGGAATTGTAAGTAGTTTGAATTTGTAAATATTTTAACAAAAAACTACTTGATGACGATTATTTATAAAAAAAATATTCTACCATTAGAAAGGACTCAACATCGAATCTCATTGTCAGGAACATCGAAATATCGAATCCATTTTATGAATGTAAATAGTTTGGGTAATTTTTGACAATAAAATCTATAGAAAAACATATAGAAACTTATTTTATTTAAAAAAAAAATCATTCAATAAAAATATTAAAATACAACTTAAAATTAGTTTAGAAAAATTTAAGAATACTATAAATTTCTGACTTAAATAAATAAAGTAGGAATTTTTTGTTTATGTGACTCAGTGATGGCCAAAAGAGTCTTTAAATTAAGCTATATTGAGTTCTTTTATATGTCTTGCAATGCCATTTTTGTATACGACATATACATTATCGCTTAATATCAAAAAAATAAGTGGCAAAGAATACCTTACCTTGTGACAAGCTACTGTCAACGAGTACTCAGATAAGTAAAATATATCTATGTCGTACTTAATAGCCCGTAGACTCATTGACTACTATGATTGACTGATGCACTAGACACAGTGAAGCATTAGACATAGGGTTAGAATATTCCCAAACTTATATGCGTGCCAAAACAAACGATTAAAATTAAGTAGATACCACTCGTTACGATTTATAGTGTAAATGGGTTTGAGTGCGTTTTACTTACGGCACCCATACGGTGGTGCAAATCTATTACCACGGGTATCAGAGCCCATACCTTCGACTGTCCTGACTAACTGAGGAGAGTAACTGGACCCTTTAATGGAAATATCGAGGTGGATGAAATTTAAACCCAAAGCTATGCTGACAAAATTAATGTATGTATTCAAAATGATACAAAATGAAGTTGTATTTTTCGACCGCGTGGTATGTTCCAAAGAATAGTGTATGTGTTAGCTGGTTCTCGGTCCTATCCAAGAAAGAAACTACAACCAAACGTTTAACTTTAACTGCTGCTGGCATTTATTGGTGCATTATACGTGCGTTAATAGCAATGTGGTGTTGAGCCTTAACGGGAGGTAATTATGTTAAGAGTTATGGACCTCCTGTGTCTTTTGCTCATTCGCTAGGTAAATACAAATTAAATATCACATAGTATAGTAGTAAAGTTCGATACTAGCAATTCATTCATAGCACTTGACATAAAAATTATACAAGATATATTTGTCTAAATTTAAAAATTCTTATTAGTCATCATAGAGTAAAAACCCCTTAGCCATCATAGAGTAAAAGTGCCCAGATGCACTAACTCGGAAAAAGCTCAACATAAAAGCATAAAAAAAAGTTTTACAAGATATATTTGAGATATGTGACAAATTCTTCATAAAAACTATAAATTTTCTCACTCAACATTAATTCTTTTAAGAAAAATTTAAAAACTTTATGTGAATTATTGCAAATATTATTAAAAAAATACAACACAAGAACCTATGAAATGAAATTCCCATATATCCTCTACAAATCTCTTTCGGTGCATCGACCCAAGCTAATTAAGAATAGCAGTTTTGCCACTTTTATCCTTTTGAGACAAGTGAATATTCCTGTGCTATAATAAAATCAATATTTACAAACTTTATTAATCCAATTTACGTCAATGGTCTCCATATAAAGCAAAATCAATGTTTTTAATCAAAGCTGAGTAGTACCAATTATTTAATCCAGACAAATTCTTTATGCGATTGTTAATCTTTTTCACATTTACATGGAAGATTTTTTTTTAATGCCGCAAATACCTTTGGTTTCGTTTGAATTTTCCATTTTAAATTCCAGACGAAATTTTCATTTATTGTATTTATTTTTGAACGGTTTTTGGTTACTGTTTTTGTTTCAATTTATTTACTATTTATATTTTAAAGAGGATTTCGAATAGTTACGACTGCACTCGAAATATCAGTTACTCGCACAAGTGCCACTACTGGACTGGACTCTTAAAAATTATTTCAATATTTCAACAATTTCACTGCTTTTCCATTTTTAATTGCACAAACACGACTTTTGGCTTGACAGGCACGTGTGCCGTTGTATGTGGGCTGCCGTGAGTATGAATTTAAAAACATAAAATGAATTTTTAATCGAATTCACTTTTCACTCAATCAATAAATGACAGAAAGTAATATTGAAAAAATTCCCACAAACTACAAAACAATAAAAAACAAAAAAGTCTATGAAGTCGTAAAATTTAAAGGATGGCATGCAAGCCGCGCAACGGGCACGCATCGGCGGCGGACCAGGATTGTGCGTGTGCTTGTTGCCAGTTGTGGCAGTTACAGTTAAAAATGCGCCAGTAAATGCTGCACACACCCGCGCGCCTTGGACAGTTTATATTTTGTGGGCGGCAGACGTGTCTGCGTGACATGCTGACACATAAAACGCGAGCCAATGCAATGCAGTCAACTGCAGCAAAGCGTATTTTCAATTTCGATTGAAATGTAATTAATTATTTAATTAACAGTTGCATACATCGACCGCTCATCCATACAACAGGCTAAAGTACATGAAGGTAAATCCACCCTTTCCCACATTTGAGTTTGACTAAATATACGGTTAACCTGGAGCGGTGCTGTCCATATACAAACCAGCGACTAATACTGCAACCAAAAGATGCACAAAGTGCTGCAGGTGCAGATACAGTGGGGGGTTTATGAATCAAACACACACCACAATTCATAATACCACAAACACTGAAACATATGGGAAAATCCATTTGCACAATAGCTTAGTTGGGCAAGTGAGTTAACATCGCATGTCTTAAATAATATAGTGGCACAGTTCTACTTTGTATCAGTTCAAAGTAACTATTATTAGCACTTAATTCAATAATAGTGATGGCTTGA